ATTTGGTTTTAGGTTGCCAGAACCTGTTAACCTCGGAGTCGCAGTGGGTTGACACCTGCAAGAGTTACTGTGCCTCCTACGCCCCAGCGGAGACCTTGCACCGTGGTGCCCGGGCGTTGCAACAGCTGAAGCGCTTGCACAATGCATTACTGGTCAGCAAGCCTTCTGTACAATTGCGTGAAGCCGGAGTCGTATTGAGGAAGGTATCCCCAAAACTATTATTGATTTCTACTACCACCTAAAAGCCAAGGTCGCTCAATTGAATGGTCGTTTCGAAGGAGAAGAACCTCCATCGAAGTTGACTCAAGATTGATACCATTATTTTTTATCAAACAAAACATCCGTTCAGCATCAGTCTACGTTGAGGCAATGTTTCGCACACTGGAGTCATTTATCTGTTTTGATTAAATTCGGTCCACACCACTTCACAAAGTGAAGTGGTGTAAATTTGCTGGGCCTCCGGCTAATGGCCTTGACTGCATTCATCCCTTCTCCTGTTATTGTGTTTGCGCTTCTTGGCGTCCTTAATAATGAGCGAATGGATGATTGGTTGGTCAGAATCTGTAGGGTCTTCGGAATCACCAGAAGATTATTCACCATCATTCGCCGGCAGCTGGGATTTATCTCGATTAATCTTCGGCTTTTAGGGCCTGCTTCAAGGCCTACGGGTTCTTCCTTCGTGCAAGGTACGGGCCTACATATGTTTGTAGCGGCCGGTACCGTCTTGGCCTCCCGAATTGACCCCACCGTCGGACTCCACCCTTTCTCTGAAATACCCCGATTGGCACACACTCGTGTTGTTCGGCTTTTACTTGGTTCGACACACAACGATATCTTAACGAAAAATGCTAGCCCGACTTGAAAATAGAAGGGCAGGGAACCTCAAGCGGTAGTCATCCACTACCCGGCTTCACTGAATGGGTCTGAGCGGCGAAATCTGGGTTCCGAAATGCCCACATCTTCGTCACATCCTGCGCTTTGGGTAGTCTAGCACGCTAGGCCCTGGGTAGTCCAGCATGCTAGGCCCCGGGTAGTCCAACATGTTGGGCTCTGGGTAGTCTAGCACGCTAGGCCCTGTGTAGTTCAACATATTAGGTCCTGAGTAGTCGAGCATGTTAGGCCCTGGGTAGTCCAACATGTTAGGCCCTGGGTAGTCCAACATGTTAGGCCCTGGGTAGTCCAACATGCTGGGCTCTGGGTAGCCCAGCATGCTAGGCCCCGGGTAGTTCAGCATGTTAAGCCCTGGGTAGTCCAACATGTTAGGCACTGGGTGGTCCAACAGGGCAGGCGCCGTCGAGGAAGATGCTGCGGCATTGCTGCTTGGCGTAGACTTGCGCTTGGGCACGCATGAGCGGTTGGCGTAAAAAGGCCTGACGCTTTTGGCCCACCACTGGGAACGCGGGCGCAAGGCAAGCAAGACCTGGTTGGAGGGAAAGCCTCGGACGGGGACGGCGGTGTAGACCTGTTCCCGGCGACCGTCGGGGCCGACGAAGCGGCGAGTGAACTCGCGGTACCAGGCGACGCGAGCTGCGTCCTCGGTGTCGAGATCGCCCTCTTCTATGGGGACCAAATTTCCGTGCTTGCGCGGCTTGTGTTTGCCATCCGACTTGCCGGAGCGGAACTCGAGCGACGTGATTACCCCCAGTCCCCCCTTCCGGATCTTGCCCACCGTCGTCACCGTCGCCGGCAGCCGCCAGCCTCGGCCGCTATGCTTTACCGCACACAACTCCACCAACGCCACAGTCCAGCTCCCTGGCGCTTCGCTCCAGGTGGCCGGACAGATCACCTTCTGCCCCAACAGCGCCCACCAACTCTCTGAGCAGCTCTGCGCCGACCGACAACTCCACATTCCCCGATTTCAAATTGACCCCTTGACCCGAACCCGCTCATGCACATACGCGCGCTCGCTGGCACACACACGTGAGTCTGCCAGCACCCCGCTAACTCAGCGCCCCGACTACTTATTCGGAATCTCACGTGTTAGGCCGGGAAGTGTTCCTATCCACGACTCCAGTTTTGTTGACCGCAATAGAGAGGGAGGGGATCGCCGAAATTGAGTTGGATTCGGTGATCGACGGACGGCGTTGCCGTTATTTTGTTCCGTAATTCTTCCCGCCACTGGGGAAGAACTCCGGCGTAGGTTTGTTGGGCTCTCCGCCGCTGGGAGAGGCCTCGTAATGCGCTGCAAACGCGCGCGCGTTGTCCCAAATATGCCCAACGTCTTTTATGTCCCAAAAGACGTTCGAACTGGGACTAACTCAGACGAGAACCAGCACTAGCGATTCTCCCATTTTCGGACAATCCTCGGCGGTAACCCAATGCCTCATGCGGGGTGGCATTGTGGGCGTACACCGCCGCTGCCAGTACGCCCTCCACCTCGGTGTTCGCCGTGGCGCACGTCGCGAGGGCATGCCTCAAGAATCGGTGTGATGCCTCATTAACGCCATCCCTCCGGGTAGAATGGTGCTGTGTGGAACTGATAAACCCCCAGTTCCGTGATCTTCGGGAGTGAAATGAAGGGGTGGTTGTCAGTAATAACCGCCCGTGGTATGCCCATTACGGGGACCCACACCCGGAGGAAGACGCGCTCCGCACCGGGGAC